AGAAGACGTCGCAAATACAAGTGACGAGACAGCCAATAACGCCTTGAATTTTCTCGACAAGAAAAGGGGGTGACCATTAAGGTGCAAACTTCAAACCGAAGCGTTTTTCGCAACAATGTGTGAAGAATGGAAACGAATTTGTTGAAACCTTTCGTACACTATTTTTTTTCTATAAGAATATATTTTATAAGAATATCGAGGCTGAAATTTGCGAAATTTTAAGAATATTTTAAGAATAAACCCCAGGCTGAGGTTTTGAAAAGGATGTAATTTTGTGTGTTCAAAAACTGTAAATACCAGACAATTATGTTTTCAACTTATTCCATCCTCTGAACGGCAAAACTTGCCAACAAGGCGCAAAAACCTGCACTAACAATACCTGATACCCCAATACGTTCTAAAACGGAAATGTCATAAGCTATAATTTAAGAATAATACAAGAATATTTTCAGCCTAAAATCGGCAAAAAAATAAGAATATTCAGCCTGGGCCGGAAAAACAACATTCTTACATAAAAAAGAGTGTATTCTTTGTAATCTAGAGGATAGCTCTTGCTGTTAGTTCAAATACTTTTTTCCATTGTTCTTGTTATCAAGGTATCGGGGATCCCACTAACGAACGATTGGAATCCAGAATCTAAGTTCCACTGACAAAGAATCCGGAATCCAGTAGCTTGAAGCCAGAATCAACCTCATGGAATCTAGATTCCAAGACTGTCTTGAATTCCCTTACATGCGGCGATTTCTTGCCCAATCAACAGATTCTTATAGATAGTCAACTTCGCTAATGAGGAGACTTCGTTATCTATTGCGTGCTGTAATAGACAATTGCTCTTTCCGTTATTGTTGGTTACAAGTGCTGAAACTTTCTTGCAAAAACTGCTCAAATTAACTCGTCTGCTACACAGCCGTTTTTAGTGTCGTCACGCAACGCTCCTCCCCACTAACGGCTGCTGAAAACCGAACTACATTCCTTTCCCTTTGTGTTTGTGGTCTAACGAACAAACCAATCATGTAGAAGAAATTTGACAATACGTGAGCCGCAGGGCGCTAAGAAGCGAGCACGCTTCTCAGTTTTCGACAAATCAATCAATCGTCGCTGAATTTAGACGGGCTCTGTGTTTTCAAGCAACGAAAAGGTTAATTTGCAAAAAAGTTTGTTTAAGCGGTCAAGAAAGTTCCAAGTGAAAAAAAGGTTTGATAGGCCTAGAAAACTTTTACCAGGATCGGTTGGTTCTTCATTCAAAGTGCATATGTGCTGATATGTAGTGAAGAATTTAATATACCGGATGTGCTCATTGTGTTCTGTGAAGACTAAACTCTCAAGGGTACTGATTAAAAAAAGCAGTCTTATAAATTATCGATGAGCGATTTCCCGAAACTATACCTGGCAACTTTATGAGGAAATCCATGTTGTGAATCGCAATTTGCTCGACTTGCTTGCTGTTGCTGCTTATCTCCTAAATTTTGAATACGACTCGACTACGACAACACTGTAGTTAATTGCTTGTTTTCACGCGACGATTTTGATTATTCTGTCATTCACACATGGGGCAACGATAAAAGCAAAGCTGTGATTGGAGGAGTCACACTACCGCAAAGGTGGCGCGAACACTTTCCAGAAAATGGGAGCTGAATTATAATTGGCTAATCAAGGAAAAGGAATGTAGTTCGGTTTTCAGCAGCCGTTAGTGGGGAGAAGCGTTGCGTGACGACACTAAAAACGGCTGTGTAGTAGACTACAAATTAACCAGCCCTATCAGCTTTTGAACCTAGATGTATACAGCTAATTCGAGAAAGTTTGTCGGAAAAAGTGCACGCAACAATCCCGAAAGGTATTGCGAGTGCTAAAGCAAAGCTACAAAAATATGTTCGACAGCTACAGTGTCAGGAACAGTGTATTGATCATATCCCATATTGCCTTTCGGGATTGTTGCGTGCCCATTTTTTCCGACAAACTTTCTCGAAACAGCTTTATACGGCGACGTATTTTATGGGTTACCTCGTATGCTTATGAGCAAAAATTTAAACAATGACGTTAGCAACGATTCACCTATTGTTCATTTGCACATATCCCATAATACAAAAAAGGTTATGCAAAATCCTAAGTGTATTATGGGAGATGCAAAAATGGTGAATAAGGATTTGACAACAGAGACCAAGCTGAAAGTCGATAATCAATCAGTCATCCTTCTTATCAGTAATCACGTATGATAATCCGTTTCCAGTTTAAAAACGGCCATCGGTCAAGCCAGTTTTTAGATTTGTGCACTTCATCATCAATGTGATCGCTTTGTCTTTGTTTAATCTGCCTAGTCTCAGTGGATAGATGTCACGGCCAACAACAAACTACAAGGTTCACTTCAAACAAGTTTAATAAACAATACTGGGTGAATGCTACAACGAATAAAATTCTGTCCAAAAGTTTTACGCGTAACAAAAGATTATAAAATCTTCAAAACAAAGGAATATGGCATGACCCAATATGCTACTAAGCTGGGTGGAACCAACAAATTTCCCGAGGTAAATCATTTGTAGACGTCGATAGCAAAGAAGCATAAGGAAAGTATAATAGAAAGAAATAAGGAAAATTATCGCAAGTGTAATATAAAGTAGACCTCTATCACGGACAGTTTTTTGTATCTTTTTAACAACATACAGCTTTCAAAAAAGATGCTTTCAACTTAGTTTCGTGAAAGAAAACAAAACTAATTTCGCTGGCCTAAACTGACCAATAATAACTCATATGACAAACAGATACACCAATCACTTCTCGAAGCGCGGGACCGAGGCGTGCTACCAAGTCACGATTAGTCTTCTGATTGGCTGAGAAAGTGGTGCGACATTTTTTCAACCAATCACAAGCTGTTGAAATCGCGAAATTACTCTTGAAATCCAACTACAACTTTGTTCTAAGACGAATTTTTATCTTCAGGAACGTGAATGAAATTTTTAAAAACTGTAAATTGAGAAGTTATCCTGAGGGTTTTGCAAATACAGTGAAAGCTCTCCTAAAATAAGCGGTCAGCTCTACTTACGGCCACCTTCACAAAACCCCGTTTTTCTCAACTCTTATACAAACTCTGTATTTTCACATTCTCGTAAGCGGCCAGCTTTAGTTATGGACACCTTTTTCGCGTCCCGATGGTGTCCGCTTAAGAGAGCTTCCACTGTATTTTGAACACTTACTGGATAATGACGATCCCATTTCATTTCAGACCGAGACATAAAATACACCGTTTCTGTGTACGAATACAGGTGCCGGGATGTGGCTGCAAATACGGGTAAATTGCCACTTTCCCCGGGAGAATTGGCTAGGCTACCGGGTAGAACAAAGATTCACGTTCGCCTACTCGTAACCGTACGAAGAAACGGTGTAACTTAAGGTCTCTAACGGCTTAACTATATCTTTTCATAAGGTCAGCAAAGTCGTAGAGGCTGGTTTGAAGTCTGCAAAATGAAACGTAAGTCAATGTCCATTCTCAGCCACGAGCTTTGACTTGTTTCACCTTAAATGGATTTCTTTTCTTCATTTCCTTCTTGTGTTCTCTCTCCTATTGAAAACAACATTAAGTATATTTAATTTCGCATAAAACAAGTACAAATCATTCGATGCAAATTTTTCTTCCTTTTCATTGGCCGAGAGCCCACCACGTGACCTGCAAATAACTGTCTACGAATAATGGTCTGCTCATGCGCAATGTCGTCCAACTGTGTTTGGCTTAATGTTTGACTCCAAATAATATTCTGCTCATGTGAAAGGTGTGTAAATGAAACCACGCTTTTCTCCTTTCTGTCATTACTCCTGTAAGGCGGCGTGAGCCTATCGCTTCCCGAAGATATTCATTAAAAACAACTCTGTGACCGATTGATAAAACAATTATTGACCTCGGTTATCGCAAAATATCGCGATTTGTTAGTGTCTCGGAGATAAATTATTTGCCTCAGCATTCGACTTCGGCAAATAATTGATCTGCTCGCCACTGACAAATCACGATATTTTGCTTAGCCTCGTCCAATAATTCAGTGTTATCTGCTTCTCGCTAAGACTATCTTTACAAGAGTTAGTTTAAGTTTGTAAATGCATACTAAACACTGAATGACCGGTCCCGAAGACAGGGGAACCGTTTGACTGTTTGTTTCCCTCGGGACGTCAGTGATTTTGCAATGTTGCCCGCTCAAAAGCTTTTGGCGGGAAACTGTTTGGGTGTTAGATATCATGTGACCTCGAGGAAACCAACGATTGGGAAAAGAATTCCAGACCCGTAACAAAACTGATGCATTTAAGTCATGTCTTTAAAAATAATTTCTCTTAAATAGTCTCCAGAAGACATAAACCTCACTTGACTCAGTCAAAAGTTTTGAAAACGCATGAAAACACAATCCACTCAGAAGAAAACTCGAAGTAAATACGTGGTGGACGAGCAAATTACCTTTTCGTAACTGGTCAGTGTCATTTTTTTAAAAGACAGAAACTTTTTGAACTACATGGGTTTCTACTAAGAACAAGGAATCGTCCCGGTCCTTCTAATTTCGTATGCAGCAATGTAATTGTTGCCAAACAAGCCGCACGTTTTTGTCACCCGTAACTATCTGTCGGGAATACCGTAAGGTGCGTTTGTAAAGCAACCAGTCCCGAAGAGGTAATTGGTTTTTGACAACGTATCGATCTATATACTTCTATTACCTCACTTTTTAAACTTTAAATCCATTACTTAAATGTTGAACAAGAAAAACCTTAATTAGGAGACGTCACTTGGATATATTGATGAGAAAGCAAATGTTCCGCTAAGAAGACGTGAAAAAATAAACAACCCGAGGACTCCTCCTGCCGGGATGCCCAAGGAAACCATTCCTGCTTCACGAACGCAAATGTTAATTCCCCAAAACGCAGTTTGAACACATATTTCAAAGAAACAATGCTATCTTTTCCTTCGACACTTTCTGGTTTATTGCACTTTTTAGAACTTCATTTTCATCATTGTCTCGAATCTCTTATATTCAATTAAAGTTACAAACCTCCAGCCGGCGTTGTCTTTCAGGGTCATCCTCTTGCATTATACGTTCCTTTTCAGCTCTTATTTTGTCTTCGCGACGTTGTTGTGCAGCCTATAATTTCAAAACGATATTGCTGTTCAATGTACGTTTTTTTCTTCTCGCCGACAAAAAAAACAAGAATGCTAAAAGACAAAATATGACTGCTCACCTCTTGCCTTTGGGAGTGTGATTGTTTCAAGAGATTTTCCTCAAGCTCGCGGCGATTTTTCTCAGCTTTAGCTTTCGCCTACAAGTGAAAGGGAAAGGCAGCGTTATGACGGACAAGGGAAACAGAAGGCTAATCCGCACTGGGCAATTTTTTACTTTGCTAAATAGGTAAAAAATTGCGCTTCGCAAGTGAGTAAGCGATTCGAAATTCTAGATAAATTCCCACCCAGTGTCGTAGAAGGATAAAACAATTTGACTGTTGACGCCCGTTCTGTATATTATGATGGCACTGTCCACTGTGATTACGTCGTGCTAAAGTAGATTAAAGTGGTTTCAACTTTGAGTCCGCGGATGAACTTCTTGCAGCGAGGCGTGGTGATTTATTTGGAAAAAAATGGTTCTGTAAATTTGCGTGCCTGAGAAAAACTGCATGAGTTAAAAGGCACTGGAAATATATATGCATGCGTTATTAACCAAGCTTGTTCGGTCAAGATGGCTGAACTATAATGGCCAAGTTCTTTTTTGCGTTTTTATGGACCGTTAGCCATCATGACTGAACAAGCTTGGTCAAAAAGGGGATTTACTATAATGGCCAATAATAATACTTTTTCTTACAGGACCAACGAGGGAAATCCCTAGGGGGCAGAATAGGCCGCTTGAGCAACCGATCAGAAGACAGGGCTTCGCTTCGCTTCGTCCTGCCGCTGCCCGCTCGCGGGTTCAACCTTATATTATTGCTATTTACAGTAATATTCAACAAACCTCCTTTCCAAGCCTAAAGCGTCGAACCCTGTCGATACAATGAAGGACCAGCCTCATCATGGGTTCAAGTTTAGCCATGTCAGCTGATTTGGTACTCCTACCTTTAGACGGAACTAACAAAGACAATTTCCAATAAATAAATCTGGCTAGATTATTTAACAGGTGCCTGGTTATCTGACTCGTCCCCAGTCAGCGGACAGAACGCAAGAAGCGTGACCAAAGGGTGCGCGAGGGGTGCTGGGAAGGAAGAAAACTCTCCCCTTTTTCTTCCCTCCCATTACCCCATTAACCGCGCTTAGAAGACTGAGAGACGACTGGGGAGGAATCAGCCTGCTAATTACAGCCAATTGCGGACTGGAATAAGGCAAAAGCCCGGGCTGTTTTGTGTCCAAGAAGCCTCAAAATCATGCCTTCAGAATTAACAAGCTAACTCTTTCAGACTAGCATTTGGTTTAACTGAAGTTCAAACTATCTATCAACTGCACTGTTTTCAAACATAAATAAGTCTAAATTAATAAATTAGGAGAAAGAATTCTCCCAATCGAGAGAAGTCGTTATGTCACGTTGTCATGGTAGCAAAATTTTTGGATGACAACAAACCAAAAATTTACTTCAAAAGTGAATTCGTACTGTTTCATTCATCGATCTTATTCAATTCGATTTCAGTAATTTGTCAAATGTTGGCAAAATGTTCTGGGTTGAATCCAAAAGAAAAAGAAAATAATTGTGTTGTGTTCACCAACTCCATAAAGCGGGCACGTGAAATTAGGAAGTTTCATGTCGCAGTCGCAACAGAAAAGAAACGTACAAAAAAGCGTGATTTGCATTTTTCAAGCCGTTTGTCAATTTTTTTGTGAATATTTAATTATCTTAGCGCAACGCGGCAAAAATAGATCAGGTGACTAATTATTTAAAAACCTAGAAGTTCGTTACGCAACTTACATTTCAAAAGTGTCACCACAGATCGCACTTCGAAGCTTACTAGCCGCATATGGAACACAAATTGTAAGTATAATATTTTCCCGTCGCTTCAACCGAAATCGACATGTGTAATAACCTTCTTTGTCATGTTAATTTAATTTTTCAGTTGACTAAACTACTACAAGTGCAAATAAATTCCATGTACGGTCATGTACGCGAAAATCAGTTAGTGGTGAAATCTTCAACATAAAGTAGCCCTTCAATCACAGGAGCGAATCAGTCAAAATTTGTTGCAGAAGATTACGCCGAGTTACTAACTACCGCCAAGCTTCGCATTTAAATTCCGCTTACAATGCCGCCGAAGGTAGACGTGAACACTCTCGCGGGAAAACTGGACAATGCCGTCAAACTCTTGTACGAATTAATGGAAGAATTCGAAACAATTTTCTCCGTAAAACCGGAACTAAAAACACTTGAAGCAGCATTCAGTTTAGTAGAAACCAAGTACAGACTGGTCAAGAAACAGCAGGAAACAATTCTGGATAGACTGGTCGACGAAGGCACTGGCCCAGAAGACGAACTCGTGTTAGCAACAAAGAAAACTGGAGACAAAACCAAAGCTGATTTCCTTCAAATCACTTTAAAGTTTGCTGCATATCAAAAGGAACAAAACTCCTCAGAAAATTCTAACAATGCGACAACTCTGGAAGCGCTAACATTATCAATGTCGTCCATGATGACGTCGGCGGTGCAGAAAATGGCCGATAACATCGGATCAAAACCGTCAAACTCTAGTTTACAACGATTACCTGTACCAGTATGGGACGGAACTCGCAGAACCTATGCCACGTGGAAAAAGGAGTTCAGCCATTGGATGAAGAAGTACGGTCAGGATAAAGATGAACAATTGCAACGTTTTCGAAATGCAATGCCAAAAGGATCGTTCTGGACCGACCAAGTAAAAACTTGTAAAACCATTGACAGCGCGTGGATTATTTTGGATACAGAGTTCGCAGACAGACGAAAACTAATGGACGAACTACACACCGAGATTAATAATCTTAAAGCAGTCAAACGAGATTCTAAGTCCCTAACGCATTTCGCTACGACAATAGCCTGTTATGTAAGTGACATGGAAGATAATATTGGGTGTCCTGTGCTGGAGTCAGTTGAAGCGCCGTTCCTCATGTCCCAGCTTCTGTCCAAACTCGATCCAAGTGACAATTCAGATTTTGGTAGAGAAATGAAAAGAGAAGGAAAAGAAGAAACCGTGAGCAATCTAATCGCCTGGTTACATCAAGAAGCGAGTATTCGTTCCCGAGGGAAAGCGAACAGCAACGCAGTGGAAAGAAACGAAATTCGCCGAGACAAAGGTCCCAAAAAGACAGAAAATAACGCCGCTAACAGCGAGGATTCTGACGATGAAACATGTCCTCTTGGCTGTAAGACCAAACATCACCTGGCTGCATGTCCTAAGTTTCAGATTCTAACAGTCAATCAAAGGTGGGAGGTTGTAAAGCAACATTGGCGATGTCGCAAGTGTCTGAGAGCGCATCACACAAACGATTGCAAGAAACCAGACGGCTCAACCTGCGACAAATGCAGAAAAAACCATCACCGGTGCCTACATAATGAGAAGACTGGAGAAACTAACACAAGTTTGAATCCCAAAGCACCACCGTTTCAAAGTCAGTTCCAAGGGCCCACAACTACATCGAATGGTAACATCCAAGGGAATGCTGTGTACCAGAAAAGCAAGTTGAAACCTGTTACTGGACTTTGCCCTGTGCAAAAAGTTAAAGTCATGAACAAAAACGGAAACTTTGTCGAAGTTCTCGCCATGTTGGACTCCGGGTCTAACACAAGCCTACTCTCCAAAAGTGCAGCTGGTCGACTTGGCTTAAATGGAGCAGCAACACGTCTCACTATGAATCTGGCGGGTGGAAAGAAGAAAAGCGAACCTTCTGAGATAATCGATATCACGGTTGCCTCGCCCTCTGACGAAGATATTACGAAGACCCTTCAAGTGTACACCGTAACTAGACCTTGCAGTAGTGCCAAAATAATTTCTAAAGAGTCAGTGGGACAATACAGCCATTTGAAGAACGTTTCCGATAAAATACATCTCTCGGGTGGTGCCATAGATCTCCTTATTGGCACAGACTTCGTAGAGGCCTTCATTGATATTCACACAGTGTCCGGAGAACCTGGAGAGCCCATCGGGAAAAGAAACTGCTTTGGATGGTATGTTCTGGGACAGTTCGAGTCAAGCGGCTCCACTCTATCTGAAATTCAGTCAATAGAAGTAGGGACAGTGAGTGTCGAGGAAGATATCAAGAAACTTCTGCACCAAGACCTCCTTGGAGTCAAACCAACCAAACTCTGTACTTGCACTGAAAACGTGTTACGTGAGAGCAAGTTCGTGAAGTCCCTCGCAGCTTCAACTACTTTGGTCGACGGGAGAATACAAGTGAAGATGCCCTGGAAAGAAGGAGGGCCTCCAAAACGAAGCAACTACGACATCGCTCTGAAGAGGATGCTCTCCGCTGAAAGGGGGTTTATGAAAAAGGGTTGCTTCGAGGTCGTAAAAGAGGAAGTGCAAAAGTTGTTAGACCAGAACTTTATCACAATGATTCCACCTGAACAAATTGCTCATGATAAACCCGAATGGTACCTCCCATTGCAAGCAGTGTTTACGCCAGAAAGAACCACAAAAGTTCGACTAGTCTTTGATTCATCTTCAAAAGGTCATGATGGATTGTCCCTCAACGATTACCTTCAGAAAGGACCTAACTTCATCAATAGTCTTCTGGATGTACTGGCAGCATGGCGATGGGACGAAGTGGCGTTCACTGGTGACGTTCGTAAAATGTTCAACCAAATCCTGGTACATCCTGAGGATCAGGTGTACCACAGGTTTCTGTGGAGGAGCAACACATGTGACAAACCAACTGTTTACCAGTGGCTAAGACTGAACTTTGGTGATAAACCGGCCCCTGACATCGCAACTAACGCTATCAACACGCTAGCCAAGCTTTCGAGCGCAGAATTCCCGGAAGCCGCAGAAGAACTCCGACAGCATGTGTACGTGGATGACATCGGTGGCTCCAGAGAAACAGTAACCAAGGCAAAGCAGATTATCAGCCACATCGACGCTGTCCTCGCGAAAGGCAACTTCCAGATCAAAACTTGGCATTCCAATGAGGCAGAAATCGACCAATCCAACGGTGAACGGTTCACGGATCTTCTCGGCCTAAGCTGGGATAAACAGCTAGACACGTTCACCTTCAAAAAGAATGACCTCGGAGAACTGGATGTCCTGACAAAGAGGCGCTGTTTAGGTCTTGTTGGTCAGTTATGGGACCCCATCGGTCTTGTGCTGCCCGTCGCAATCAAGTTCAGAATTGACTTGCAAGGATTATGGAGTTCAGGTTACAGCTGGGACGACATCCTTCCCGAGAGTATTCAGCAAACATGGTTAGAGAATGTCCAGTCCATAAATGATCTCCTGTCATTTCAGTTTGACCGCAAGCTAAAACCAAACAACGCAGTGGGCGTGCCTCAAATTCACGGATTCTCCGATGGTGGTGAGCAGGCTTATGGTGCGGTCATCTTCCTACGGTGGAAACTTGCTGGCGGAGACTATCGTAGTGTTCCAGTCACGATAAAGGCTTTCGTCGCACCTCTGAAGAAGAAGAGCATCCCGAGATTAGAACTGTTGGGCTGTTTAGCACTTGCACGCATGTACGTTACATGTGTAAAAGCATTGGAGTTCGCAAAAGCCCAGGACTGGGAAAGATTCTTCTGGATCGATTCATCAACCGTTTTGTCCTGGATCAGAACGCCACCACGGGAATTCAAGCCTTTCGTATCTGCCAGAGTGGCTGAAATTCAAGAGACGATTGGGGCAGACCAAATACGCTACATTAAGTCTAACCACAACCCTGCAGATGCTCTAACGAGAGGAATCCATCCTAATCATCTCATGAAGTGGTCAGAGGGACCATCCTTCCTAGAGTTGCCAGAAGAAAAGTGGCCCAGCGCTCAAGACCACACCCGAGTTAACACTCATGTGGACGACCTCGACGCTTTAAGAGAGAAGAAAACGTTTTGGAAAGAGAAGAAAGCCGGTAAACATCACAGTGCTGCCGCGGAAGTATGTCCTGAACTAGATCAACCTGGATCTGAAGAAAATCCTATCCTTTTACACTTGCTGAAAACGTGTTCTACGTACTCCAAGATACGGAGAACTCTAGCCTACGTCGGTCGCTTTATTCACAACGTTCGGAAAATGAACCCAAAGTCAGGGCCCATTTCAGTTCAGGAACTGAAGGCTGCCGAGACCCATCTTCTGAAGTGGAGTCAATTTCACGTCAACGAAGACAGCTTGGATAAGAAACTGGTAGCAAAAAGGGATGAAGATGGCCTTTTTCGTGCGCATGGTCGACTTGAAGATGTCAGACGTCTCCCGGAAGAGTTGAGAAAGCCTATTATCTTGCCAAAAGACCACCCTTTTGTGATCTTGCTTCTGCGTGACCTCCACGAACGACGAGGGCATTGTGGCTATAAGAGTTTAATCCACGAGGCCAGAAAAAGATTCTGGATCATTGGACTCCGCAGAATGGCTAAGACCGTCACCTCAAAGTGTGTCATATGCAGAAAACTACGGAAAAGGCCTCTCAACCAGCTCATGGGACAGATTCCAAACCTAAGAGTAGCAGCTGGCTTCCCGGCATTCTCAAACACTGCTATGGACATGTTTGGGCCAGTACAGATCAAGCTCGGCCGCAAAACTCTGAAAGAGGCACAAGTGATCATCTTCGCTTGCATGACATCACGTGCGATTCATCTTGAGCTGGTCACCGATAAAACTTCAGACGCATTCTTAATGGCCTTTCGACGGTTTGCCTGCCTACGCGGACACCCAAATGTTTGCTGGACAGACCGTGGAACAAATTTCGTGGGTGCCCAAGGTTACCTAAAGGAAATCACGCAGAACTGGGATATTCCTGGGGTAAAGAGTGTCCTCTCTGATAAATTTAGCTGCGAGCTCAGATGGGAATGGAATACACCACATGCGAGTCACCAAAACGGAGTTGTTGAAACCCTAATTAAGTCAGTCAGACAAGCATTTAACGCCACTTGCAAGAACCAAGCCTACTCCGAGGAACAATGGAGAACAATTTTGTCAGAAATCACCTACATGGTCAACGGACGACCGCTGTACCCCAGTTCCGACGATATCTGGGAGGCCCCACCGATCACTCCAAACGACCTACTTCTAGGCCACTACAATCCACCACCACAACCGGAACCAGAGGAAAGAACCAATCCGCGACAATTACTCAGAAGCACCCAAAACAGAGTTGCTGATTTCTGGAGGAGCTGGATGAAGTATTTCGGCCCAAACTTGTTACCAAGGAACAAGTGGTTTCGCGCGCGAGATAACATCCAGATCGGTGATCTTGTACTGGAGCTGGACCCCAAACACAAAAGATGTGAATGGAAAATGGCGCGTATTGTAGGCACATATCCTGGAAACGACGGACTTGTCCGAAAAGTGAGAATCAAGACAAGAGACGGAGAGTATGACAGACCAATTCACAAGTTATGTCTCATAGCCACTAAAGACGAACTGAATGCGGATCGCTCAAGCTAGTCGATAGTAGAAATGGACTCTAACACCATTTTCTGACACTTCTTTATTGAACATTGAACACTTAAGCCATTATAGTCGTTGCTCAATTAGAACTAATTATTTAGACCTAATTTCCGCACTGGGGCGGAGTGATTTGCATTTTTCAAGCCGTTTGTCAATTTTTTTGTGAATATTTAATTATCTTAGCGCAACGCGGCAAAAATAGATCAGGTGACTAATTATGTAAAAACCTAGAAGTTCGTTACGCAACTTACATTTCAAAAGTGTCACCACAGATCGCACTTCGAAGCTTACTAGCCGCATATGGAACACAAATTGTAAGTATAATATTTTCCCGTCGCTTCAACCGAAATCGACATGTGTAATAACCTTCTTTGTCATATTAATTTAATTTTTCAGTTGACTAAACTACTACAAGTGCAAATAAATTCCATGTACGGTCATGTACGCGAAAATCAGTTAGTGGTGAAATCTTCAACATAAAGTAGCCCTTCAATCACAGGAGCGAATCAGCACGTAAAATTTGGTTGTTTTGCTAATATAAAGCTATTGCTTTTTTGCCGTTCTCGTTGCCGTTGCCGTAGTCGTTGCTTAAGCTTCCCATGGTCCAGAAATTTGGTTACCACTTCTCTCTTTTGCATTACCCCAGGAAAACGTATTTCATAAATTTTTTACAGGAAGTCATTTCATAAGCCTTAATGGCTTCCATGGGCTCCCTTCCCTCAGCACGTTGAAATTATTTTATCTATCAATAAAAGTAATATCAGGCCAAATAATAAAAATGTAAAAAAAGTTAAATATTTCAACCCTTAAAAGGCGTTTATCCACCATCTTACAACTGCTGCAAAGAAGCTAATAGGACGGAGTGCAAAGTACCAATTCTATTCTCTACCCTGTGTACAGATGCCCCCTCCCCCCCACAAAAAAATCAGGGACTATCTTCATGAAAATAGGAAATTTGAAATTTATCACAAACCTATGAGTTCCTAGTCTCCTTCGCAACTGCTCGGGTGTTCCCCGTCCCTAGGGGACACAATAGTTACTTGCACTACCCCCAAGTAACAGGTCATAAAACGCCATTGTTCTCCTGTCCTACCACTCACGTGGAAAAGTATAAAAGAAACTTACCATTGAAGTTAAAGAGTAAGACTTTCCTCGGTTTGACAGGTTTTCCGTTTGCTGCTTGTTCACTACAGGAAAAGCATTTTTGTCAATTTAAAAACATATAAATTGAAGGGGGAATTTAAACAAAACCTCCGCCGTTTTACATTTACAGTCTTTTAACTGTGGTTACATTAACAACATGTTTAACTGCATCAAAGACAGCAGCCATAATTCTGTTTTACATTATGAAAACCTCTGCACCTTTAACTTTTCCATTACAAAACAAAACCCAATCCAAAAGAACTAACAGTAATAAGCAATTGGACACATGGTCTGTAAATGCAGACGCTTGTCTCTTCACACAAGCTTTTTGAGCAGAGAGAAGCTACAACTGGAATTATGTCGGTGTTCTGAAGCTAATCCATAGACTTATAAGTAAGAACTACATAATGCCTCCATAATGACTCTGCAAGTAAAAATGTTATTAGACTTACTCATCCTCTGGCTGTTTAGGTCCAACATATTGATCTGAAAATATTAAAGACTCAAATATATCTTCACCTCCTGAAATGGCTCTTGTAACCTAAGAGTCAAACAAACAAACAAAAATAAGTATTTTATCCTCATTTTTTATCATATCTTCTCATGATGACAATACAGAATTTTAAGTTACATGTTCCTGGATGTGTTTAAACATCACAAATGACTTTGAGTTTACATGTTTGAGAAAAACTTTTGTTGTTTCACTGAAGTTTTTCAAATGACATTTTGAAGCGTCATCTTTTTCACTTAGGTTCCACAGTAATACAAACGGTGTTGCCTATAGTTTCCTACTAGGTGATTCTAACTCTTGTGTCCAAGAATAATCACAAAATCTGTGTCTGGCCTTTAAAAAGTTTTCTTTCTTGTGATACTGTTAATAATGTTGTACAGTGACTCTAACTTTTGTCTTTGTGGATCAAAATATCTTGAAACCGGGTGCAAAGAAAATCATTTTTACAGCTTGCCACTCTGGCAAGCTGAAGCTAGCATTTACTTGCCCAGACATCATTTCAACTAGCCCTCAAAAAACATCACTTGTCCGTTGGGCAAGTTAAGAACAGAATTCACTAACCCGATGGCAAAATCCACTAGCCCTGGGCTATCGGACACGACTTTCTTTGCCCACTGCTTGAAATGTGACAAATTAAGAGTAGTACTTTTCAGTGCTGCTGTCTATTAACCTGTTTTTAATATTGTATAAGTAGACAGTTCTAACTTATAACGAGGTTGATAATACCCTTACATAAAAGAACATTAAATAATTCAAATTAATTTCAATCAAACCTGTTGTGACAAAATGGCATTGGC